GCCATTGTCGGCTCGTGCCAATCTTGCTTATTGCACATCCTGACCTGTTTCTTCAGACTTCATACAGCTCTACCTGTAAATATCTCAATTTGTAGCTCTAAATTCTAAAAAATTAATGTAATTTTAATATCTTTTTCACAGATACAAAAATTAATAATTTCATCAAATATACTGCTAGTGTTCAAATTTCCAAATGTCTCACAAATGTCATTTTATTTACAGTTTGCTAGTTTGGATCATGATCAATGTAAAGTATGCAGAGTCTTTTTAGTCTGTCATTTCTCCCATCTCTTTCTTATTTTTCTTGCAAATTATTTGATGAAGAAACCCATTTTTCTGTCCAGTGTATTTTTCTACAGTCTAGATTCTGTCAATTGCGTCTCCATGGTGTTATCTAATAGATTTCCTAACTCCATATTTTCTATAAATTGTCACGTTGGCAAGATTACTTTATAGGCAGTGTTGTGTTCTTCCATCAAGCAACACATGATGTCTGGTGCAATCTAATTTATATTTTTTAAATGAATAAAGTGAAAAACTTCAATATTCATTTATTTGAAAGCTTTCTAACTTTTGGGAGTGAGGGGATGCGTTGTTTTTCATGTGCTTAATTGTCTGAGCAAGCTTGCAAATTCTACCTTTCCAGAGGAATTGTCCCTCCTTTCAGCACAGCAGCATGAAAAACCAAACAAAACGTGGCACATACATAAACTAATTTTAATTCGTAGGTTCAAGCAAAATTATAATCAATAAATCTCTTTTCAGTTGTATAGAAATTATATAGCATTTTATTTCAGAATACTCAGTGTACTATAAACGAATCCACACAATTTCACAGAGATGCACAAGTCAGATTAGAGTCTCATGCAAACTAGATTTTTTATTTTTTATTTTTTTTGTAAGGAAGATCAGCCCTGTGCTAACATCTACCAATCCTCCTCTTTTTTAGCCCTGGGCTAACATCCATGCCCATCTTCCTCCACTTTATATGGGATACCGCCACAGCATGGCCTGCCAAGCGGTGTATCCGTGTGCACCCGGGATCCGAACCAGTGAACCCTGGGCAACCGCAGCGGAGTGCATACACTTAACTGCCTGCGCCACCAGGCCGTTCCCTCAAACTAGATTTTTAATGCCAATTTTCACTAACAGAACTCCAAGGGAGTAAAAATGTATGCAAAAATTTTAATGACTCTTCAAGGTTTATTTATAATTACCTTTAATAACTAAAACCAGAAAAACAGAAAGAAATAAATGCACTATTGTTATAAAGTTTCTGAAATACTGGACAAGTGGTGGATGTTTTTAACAATGTATATCTCCTTTAAAATTACCACTTGAGCTGGCTAAGTGGCTTAATGTATGCAAAGGAGCAAGATGGATTTGCTAATAGTACCCACTATTGTTCAGTTTGAAAGGGGAATTCATAACAAATTGCTTCCTCAGAGTGCTACTGTGAACACGTTTTGAATGAAATAGCACATTTCTACTGAGAATTGCATAACAGATTTTCACAGAAAACAAAAGTTTTCATTGAAACAGAGAAAGTAATACTTGTTCTATAAATTTGGTACCTTCAAATATATGGAAAAGTCTTGGAGTTTTTATTATAATTAAACTATTTTTATAGCATATTATGCACAAACATATGCTTCTTTCATTTTGGTCCCTCTATGAACCTTAGAGAATTTATTTAAAAAATATTTTTATTGTGGGAACATTGGTTTATAATGTTTATATAAATTTCTGGTGTACATCATTATATTTTGATTTCTGTGTAGATTACATCATGTTCACAACCCAAAGATTAATTACAATCTATCACCACACATATGTGCCTAATCACCCCTTTCACACTCCTCCCTCCCCAGTTCCCTTCTGGTAACCAACAATCCAATCTCTGTCTGTATGTGATTGTTTGTTGTTGTTTTTATCTTGTACTTATGAGTGAGATCATATGGTATTTGACCTTCTTCCTCTGACTTATTTCGCTTGGTATAACACCCTGTAGGTCTATCAATGTTGTCACAAATGGCAAGATTTCATTTTTTTTTATGGCAGGGTAGTATTCCATTGTGTATATATACCACATCTTCTTTATCCATTCGTCCCTTGATGGCCACCTAGGTGGCTTCCAAGTCTTGGCTATTGTGAATAACGCTGCAATGAACACAGGGGTGCATGTATCTTTAAGCATTTGTGTTTTCATGTTCTTTGGGTAAATACCCAGCAGCGGAATAGCTGGATCATATGGTAGTTCCATTCTTAATTTTTGAGGAATCTATACTGTTTTCCATAGTGGCTGCACCAGTTTGCATTCCCACCAACAGTGTATGAGAGTTCCCTTCTCTCCACATCCTCTCCAACACTTGTTTCCTGTCTTGTTAATTATAGCCATTCTGACGGGAGTGAGGTGATATCTCATTATAGTTTTGATTTGCAGTGCCCTAACAGTTAATGATGTCGAACATCTTTTCATGTGCCTGTTAGTCATCTGTATATCTTCTTTGGAGAAATGTCTGTTCAGATCTTTTCTCCATTTTTCAATTGGGTTGTTAGTTTTGCTGTTGTTGAGATGTATGACTTCTTTATATATTTTGGATATTAACCCTTTGTAAGAAATATGATTTGTCAATACCTTCTCCCAATTGTTAGGCTTTCTTTTCATTTTGTTGATGGTTTCCTTTGCTGTGTGAAGATTTTTGGTTTGATGTAGCCCCATTTGTTTATTTTTTCTATTGTTTCCCTTGCCCAGGCAGACATGGTACTTGAAAATATGCTGCTAAGACCGATGTTGAAAAGAAAGCATATTGCCTATGTTTTCTTCTATGAGTTTCATAGTTTCCAGATTTGCATTCAAGACTTTAATGCATTTTGAGTTAATTTTTGTGTATGTCGTAAGACAATGGTCCCCTTTCATTCTTTTGCATGTGGCTGCCCAGTTTTCCCAACACCATTTATTGAAGAGACTTTCCTTTCTCCATTGTATGTTCTTGGCTCCTTTGTTGAAAACTAACTGTCCATAGATGTGTGGGTTTACTTCTGGGCTCTCGATTCTGTTCCATTGATCTGTGTGTCTGTTTTTGTGCCAGTACCATGCTGTTTTGGTTACTATAGCTTTGTACTATACTTTGAAATCAGGGAGTGTGATACCTCCAGCTTTGTTCTTTTTTCTTAGGATTCCTTTGACTATTCAGGATCTTTTGTTGTTCCATATAAATTTTAGGATCTTTGCTCTATTTTTGTGAAAAATGTTGTTAGAACTTTGATAGGGATTGTATTGAATCTGTAGATTGCTCTAGGAAGTATGGACATTTTAACTATGTTAATTCTTCCAATCCAAGAGCATGGAATATCTTCTCATTTCTTTGAGTCTTTTATTTCTTTCAACAATGTTTTATAGTTTTCAGTGTACAGACCTTTCACCTCTTTGGTTAAGTTTACTAGGTATTGTTGCAATTGTAAATGGAATTTTTTTCTGAATTTCTCTATCTGCTACTTTGTCGTTAGTGTACAGAAATGCAACTGATTTTTGTATGTTGATTTTGTATCCTGCAACTTTACTGTATTCACTTATTATTTCTAAAAGTTTTTTGGTGGATTCTTTAGGGTTTTCTATGTATAAATTCATGTCATCTACAAATAGTGACAGTTTCACTTCTTTCTTTCCTATTTGGATCACTTTTATTTATTTTTCTTGCCTGATTTCTCTGGCTAGGACTTCCAATACTATGCTAAATACTAGTGGTGAAAGTCTGGTTTCCTTATCTGGTTCCTGTTCTTAGAGGGATAGTTTTCAGTTTTTCTCCATTGAGAATGATACTAGCTGTGGGTTTGTCGTATATAGCCTTTATTGTGTTGAGGTACTTTCCTTCTATACCCATTTTGTTCAGAGTTTTTATCATAAATGGATGCCGTCTTATCAAATGCTTTCTCTGTATCCATTGAGATGATCATGATTTTTATTCTTCATTTTGTTAAGGTGGTGTATCACATTGATTGATTTGTGGATGTTGAACCATCCCTGCATCCCTGGAATAAATCATCCTGATGATGGCGTATGATCTTTTTAATGTATTGTTGTACTCAATCTGCTAGTATTTTGTTGAGGATTTTTGCATCCATGTTCATCAGTGATATTGGCCTGTAATTTTGTTTTTTTGTGTTGTCCTTGTCTGGTTTTGGTATCAGGGTAATGTTGGCTTCATAGAATGAGTTAGGAAGCTTCCTCTCCTCTTCAATTATTTGGAAGAGTTTAGGAAGGATAGGTATTAAGTCTTCTTTCGATGTTTGGTAGAATCCACCAGGGAAACTGTCTGGTCCTGCACTTTTACTTGTTTTTGATTACTGTTTCAATCTCCTTACTGGTGATTGGTCTATTCAAATTCTCTATTTCTTCTTGATTCAGTTTTGGAAGGTTGTATGATTCAAAGAATTTATCCATTTCTTCTAGATTATCCAGTTTGTTGGCATATAGCTTTTTGTAGTATTCTCTTACAATCTTTTGTATTTCTGAGTTGTCTGTTGTAATTTCTCCTCTTTCACTTCTGATTTTATTTATTTGAGCCTACTCTTTTTTTTTTTTTTTTTGCTGAGGAAGATTGGCCCTAGGCTAACATCTGTGCCCGTCTTCCTCTACTTTATATGGGATGCCACCACAGCACAGCTTGACAAGCAGTGCGTCGGTGCGCACCCAGGATCCAAACCTTCAAACCCGGGCCACCAAAGGAGAGCACATACACTTAACCGCTGTGCCACCTGGCCAGCCCTGGAGCCTACTCTCTTTTTTTCTTGGTGAGTCTAGCTGAAGATTTGTCAATTTGGTTTATCTTTTCAAAGAACCAACTCTTAGTTTCATTGATTTATTCTATTGTTTTTTAAGTCTCTATTTCATTTGTTTCTGCTCTGATTTTTATTATTTCCTTCCTTCTACTTATTTTGGGCTTTATTTGTTCTTCTTTTTCCAGTTCCTTTAGGTGCACTGTTAGATTGTTTATTTGAGATTTTTCTTGTTTGTTGAGGTGGGTCTGTATTGCTCTACACTTCCCTCCTAGAACTTCTTTTGCTGTATGGCATAAATTCTGGGATATCATATCTTCATTTTCATTTGTCTCCAGGTAATTTTTGATTTCTCCTTTGATTTCTTCATTGACCCAATCGTTGTTCAGTAGCATTTTGTATAATCTCCACATATTTGTGGCTTTTCTGATTTTCTTCCTGTAGCTGATTTCTAGTTTCATACTGTTTCAGTCAGAAAAGATGCTTGGTATTATTTCAATATTGAATTTATTGAGACTTGTTTTGTGGCCTAAGAAGTGATCAATCCTGGAGAATGTTCCATGTGCATTTGAAAAGAATGTGTATTCTGAGGTTTTTGGATGGAATGTTCTGTACGTATTTCCAAAGTCCATCTGGTCTAACATGTCGTTTAAGGCCAATGTTTCCTTATAGATATTCTGTTTGGATGACCTATCCATTGCTGTAAGTGGAGTGTTAAAGGATCCTACTATTACTGTGTTGCTGTCTATTTCTCCTTTTATGTCTGTTAATAATTGCTTTATATATTTAGGTGCTCCTATGTTGGATGCATAGCTATTTAGAAGAGTTATATCCTCTTGTTGGATTGTTCCCTTTATCATTATGTGGTTCTCTTCTTTGTCTCTTGTTTCAGTTTTTGTTTTAAAGTCTATTTTGTCAGCTTTCTTTTCATTTCCATTTGCATGGAGTATCTTTTTCCATCCCTTCACTTTCAATTTGTGAGTGATTTTAGGTCTGAAATCTGTCTCTTGTATGCAGCATGTGTATGGGTCTTGTTTTCTTATCCAGTCAGCCAGCCTATGCCTTTTGATTGGAGCATTTAGTCCCTTGACATTTAAAGTAGCTATTGATAAGTATGTATTTACTGCCATTTTGTTACTTTTTTTCTGGGTGTTTTAGTAGTTCTTCTCTGTTCCTTTCTTCTTCTCTTGCTCTCTTCCCTTGTGGTTTGATGGCTTTCTTTAGTTTTATGTTTGGTTTCCTTTCTCTTAATTTTTTGTGTATTTATTATAGGTTTCTGGTTTGTGATTACCATAAGGTTCATATATATTAACCTACATATATAGCAATCTATATTAAGTTGATGGTCTCTTTAGTTTGACCACTTTCTAAAAGCTGTACTCTTTTACTCCCCTCCTCCCACATTTTATGTTTTTGATTATCATATTTAACTTCTTTTTTGTGTATGTGTGTCTCCATTACCCTCTTATCATGGAAGTAGGTAATTTTAGTACTTTTGCCTGTTGACCTCCATATTATCTTCATAGGCAGTTCATCTGCTACTTTTACTGTATTTTTGCCTTTACCAGTGATTTTATTGGGTTTTTTTTTTATAATTTCCTTGTTCCTGTTTACGGTCTTCTCTTTCCCACTTGAATAAGTCCCATTAGCATGTCTCGTAAGACTGGTTTCTTGGTGGTAAACTCCCTTAATTTTTGCTTGTCTGGGAAAATCTTTATCTCTCTTTCTACTCTGAATGATAACCTTGTCGGCCAGAGGATTCTTGGCTGTAAGTTTTTTCCTTTCAGCACTTTAAATATATCATACCACTCCTTTCTAGCCTGTAAGGTTTCTCCTGAGAAGTCAGCTGATAGCCTTACGGGATTTCCTTTGTATGTAATTTGTTGCCTTTCTCTTGCAGCTTTTAGGATGCTCTCTTTATCTTTAATTCTTGACACTTTAGTTATAATGTGTCTTGGCTTCGGCCTCTTTGGGTTTATCTTTTTTGGTGCTCTCTGTGCTTCCTATACCTGGATGTCTGTTCCCTTCCTTAGGTTAGAAAATTTTTCAGCTATTATTTCTTCAAATAGAGTCTCTGCCCCTTTGTCTCTCTCTTCTTCTTCTGGGATACCTATAATATGAATGTTAGTGCACTTGATGTTGTCCCAGAGGTTCCTTAGACTGTTCTTATCCTTTTTAATTCTTTCTTCTTTTATCTGTTCAGCTTGGGTGATTTCCTCTAGTCTTTCATACAGCTCACCGATCCATTCTTCTGTATCATCTACTCTGCTATTGAGTCCCTCTAGTGAATTTTTCATTTCCAGTATTGTATTCTTCATTTCTGATTGGTTCTTACTTATATTTTCCAATTCTTTATTGAAGTTCTCACTGAGTTCATCCATTCTTCTCCCAAGATCAGTGAGCATCCTTATGAATCTTTATTTGAAATCTTTGTCAGATAGATTGTTTATTTCTGTTTCATTTAGTTCTTTTTCTGAGGTTTTGTCATTTCCTTACTTGGAATGTATTCCTTTGGCTCCTCATTTTGCCTCTTTCTCTGTGCTTGTATCTATGTATTAGGTAGGTCAGCTATGTCTCCTCATCTTGGAGAGGTGGTCTTATGTAAGAGATTCCTTATGAGGCCCAGTGGTGTGCTTCTCTCTCGTCACCAGTTCCAAATGTTCCAGGAGTGACCACTATTGGGCCACATGTGTCCTTCTGTTGTGGCAGGGTTGCTCTTGCTGCAGATGCCCAGGAAGGCTAGGCTGTCCTTCTGTCCAGCTGGTTGTAATGCTCTGCTGTGTCTGACTGCCATGGACCCTTCAGTAACTTTATCAGGCATGGAGAGCACCAGCACAGTTGTCTGCAGGTCTAATAGCACACTCCTGTTGCAGTTTTTCTGTTAAGTGAGTAGACCCGCAGCATGGCTGGTCGCTAGCCTCAGGGGCTTACAATTGCTGTAGGCCTCTGGCCTGCAAGGCTGTTGGCACCTCTCTCAGGATGGTAGCTGTGTGCGGCCAGCCTCAGGCATAGGAGCATCCAATTGTTCCAGTCTTTGGGAGGTGGGGCTGATCCCTTATGTTGCTGTTTGAGAAGCACAAGTCTTCTGCAGCTGACAAGCCCCACTGCCCACAGGGCCACGAACACTGTCAACACAGTCCTGCCCCATGTGTGCACCCCAACCCCCAGAAGCGGACCCAGTTGCCCCACAGCAGAGGCCTCACACACTCCACCAATGCCCCACACCCTCCACTCGCTCCTCACGCACTCCCTGCCCCACAGAGGTGGACCCACTTGCCTGGCTGCAGAGGATGGAGGCACCCCACCTATGCAGGCCCACATGTTGCCCAAGGGCCTAGTCCCTGAGGTGGGCTGGGCTGTCTGCCCTGGCTGAGCTGGATTAAATTGGTGCTCTAGTGGTTGGGGCAGACCCTGGGCTAACAGGATGGTAGAAGAACTCCAATGGCATCTGCCAGCATCTGTGTCAGCCCGCCTGTACTGTGTCACAATAATGGGTGCCACCAATGTCTCAGTCCCTGGGGAGGTCTCACGTCTCACCAAGATGCACCCAGAGCCTATCAGGTGAGTCTCTTCACCAAAGGACTGTGCACTTTTCTTTCTGGTGATTTTAGGTTGTTTTCTGAAATGGGTGAATTTATGCTTGGGCCCTTTAAGACCTGTCTTTCATTTTCCTCATGACCGCTAGCTTTTCTAGGGGTGTTCCTCATTGTTGTTAGCAGCCAGCAAAGCCAGATATTAAGACACTCATCTCTGTTGTGCTGAGTCCAAAAGCTGCTTATAGTGGTAATGCTCACCTGCTCAGATCCCGCACTCCTCCAGGGAAGGCTGTGTAACTTTGGATTGCTTCTAGCTGGCCATGAAGTGCCATGGCTTGTGAAGTTGGCTTTTTCCTCTCCAGAAAGGAATTTCTGCCTCTTCCACCTCAGTCAGCACTGTCCCTTGTTGTGGGGGTTCTTTTTACCCAGTTTTTAGTTCTCTCTCAGGTGTAATTGTTCCAAGAGTAGTTGTAAATTTGTTGTGTCCATGGGAAGAGGTGAGTTCAGAGTCCGCCTACACCACCATCTTGACATAAACCTCCTGAACCTTAGAGAATTTGAAAGGTATTGCACTGCTCTCCAGGTGCAGAGTTTAAAAAAAAACAAACTGTGTAAATGTTGTCACTTAGAGTCTCACCTATCCCCCACATAAACACCAAGGAGATGACAAAGACCCGGCCAGGTAGGTTAATAAGCCAAACCACTACTTGATAAACACATCCTATAATGTACTTCCTTCAAATTTTGCTAGAAAGTTAGTCTTAGTGAGTCCTTCTCTGATCTTCCTTACTTAAAACTTCAACCCTACACCATTCCATCTTCCATCAAAATTCCTTATTCTTCTTACTCTGTTCTCTTTTTTTTTTCCTGGAGCACTTAACACCTTATAAGCTACTAAATAATTTATTTATTTACCACCTTTAATCTCTATCTTCTCCCACTAAAGTGTAAAATCCTGTGCAAAGGGATTTTTTTACATTTTTTTCTTTTCAGTTGATATATACCCAGCACTGAAAACAATGTCTGGTTCTTAGGAACTTTGAATAAATATAAATGAATGAGTGAGTCCAGTAAACAAAAGTGAGGGCAATTCATGGTAACTCAATTTTTTACTTTGTGTTTCTTGATTCTCAGGCTGTAGGTGACAGGTTTGGTGTAGCTGATGCCAGTGGAGGACAGAATGTGCCTGTTACTAAAATGATTTGCATGTTAATAGCCAGTATAGAAGTAATACCTGAATGGAGTCATTACTAGAAATCCTATAGACATTAAAAGGATAATAACAATATTTAAGTCCTGTTCGTTTCATCAATGAAATAAACTTTAAAAATTTTGATGGAAATGTGTGAACAAAATGTTAAAATCATTGTTTCATGCTCATAACTTACTACGTAATGACAATCATGTACATACACTTGTATTTAAAAATGGGCCCATGGCCCCGTGGCTAAGCGGTTAAGTGCGCGCGCTCCGCTACTGGCGGCCCAGGTTCAGATCCCGGGCGCGCACCGACACACCGCTTCTCCGGCCATGCTGAGGCCGCGTCCCACATACAGCAACTAGAAGGATGTGCAGCTATGACATACAACTATCCACTGGGGCTTTGGGGGAAAAATAAATAAATAAATAAAATTATTAAAAAAATAAATAAATGGGCCCAGCATATGAACACTTTTTTTACAAGAGAAGATATTAATTTTACGGGAAAAATATGAAATTTAAGAAATATTTATTAAGTAAAATTAAATTTCAAATATTTGATTGACAAAGATTAAAGGGACTTAAAATATCCAGTATGATAAGGGGTTTTGGAAAACGGCTATTCTAATATTCTATTAACTAATGTGTATTGACATCTTTTTGGAGGAGAAACCAAAAATATGTATAAAAATTTTCAATGTAAACATCCTTCCGCCCAGCAACTCTGATTGCAAAAATTTATCCTAAGAAAGCAACAGAAGGGCCGGCCCCGTGGCTTAGCGGTTAAGTGCGCATGCTCCACTGCTGGCGGCCCGGGTTTGGATCCCGGGAGTGCACCGACGCACCGCTTCTCCGGCCATGCTGAGGCCGCGTCCCACATACAGCAACTAGAAGGATGTGCACCTATGACATACAACTATCTACTGGGGCTTTGGGGGATAAATAAATAAATAAATAAATAAATAAAATTATAAGAAAGCAGCAGAATATTAGTGCAAAGTTATATATTCAAATGTGTATAGTAAGCATGATTCTTGCTAGAGGGAATTATTTATTAAGAGGTTATTTTAAAAATAAATTATATTAAAGTAAATACTTTAAAATCATCAAAAGTGATGCATTATATTTATTATGTATCATTAGGAGGAAAGCAGATTACACTTATATATGGTATTCTTAGTATGAGAAGCACTAAGGATCAGTGCTTTGCACACTCCGGAAGCACCTTTCACATGCAGTACAATCTGAATGGTGTCCTGGCTCATATCTATAGGACAGGGTTAAGGACAAAGGCTCTGGGCCCAGACTTCTTGGGTTCATTTATTTCCTATCTGTCATCTCCATGTCTGAGTTACGTAAACTTAAGCAAGTTATTTTTACCTCATGGGGTTGATGTGGAGATTAAATGAACTAACTCGAGCAAATGCACATCAAATCCTTGACATCCACATATACGAGTTAACTATTATTTTTATTCTTCATTTTAAGTCTCATGTAAATTCTGTTTTCCTTTCTACTGTATCCTGCATGTAATTAGTTCTTAATAATATTTTTGGATGATTTTTAATTTAAAAAATAGATAGGTAGGTAGATAGATATTTGTCCAGCACATATTTGTCCTTTAGCTCAGCAATTCCATTCATGGTGTTTACCCACCAAAAATGGAAACAAATATTCTAAAAAACTTGTAAAACAAAGCTCATAGCAGCCTTATTCACAACAAGCAAAAGTTGGAAATAGAGCAGTTGCTTATCAATAAAAGAATGAATGAACACACTGCGGCACTTCATCCACACAATGAAGTGCTAGTTAGCAATAAAACAAAAAGTAATGAACTGGTGATACATGCAACAACATAGATAGGTCTGTATATCTATTATCTATCTACCTAGCTAGCTAGCTAGCTAGCTAGCTCTCTGTGTGTTGATCTATCATCTATCCATTTCACCTATCTGCTGAGCAAAAGAAGTTATACATACATATGTTGATATGATATCTTTTACATCAAGATTTATATTAGAAGAAAAAGAACCAGTAGTGAAAAAAATGAGAACAATGATTGCTTCATGAAAAGTAAGACAAGGTTTTACTGGGAAGGAGGAGGGAATTTTTTGGGGGCTATGGTAAAGTTCTTTACCTTGATGGGTTTCCAGATTACACAGGTGTATGAATTTTTTAATACATACCTGCAGCAAATGTACACTTATGATTTGTGCTTCTCATTTTACGTAAACATTATCTCAAGAGAAAAAAATTGTAAACAGATATTGAATACAAATTGATATGCATGCTGAAGTATTTAGCAGAAAGTA